CCTTATTTCCAGAGATGTGTTTGGGGTGATGTTTTTGGGGGTCAGTATCCCGAGCAGTATGTTGATTCGCATGCGCCAGACCGACTACCCGAGCGATTGGAAACGATTGTGCAGGAGGTTGTCGTGAAGGCTCCCACGCGTAATCAATGATATGAAGCACTACAGCTACATTGCCACGAACTACTTCGGCAGCGATGGGACGTGTGGGCAGCGGGCGATTAGGAAGTGGCCAACAACAACTAGAAAAGGACATCGGTTACCAAACCACACGAAACAACACGACGAGGGGAGTGGGAGTATTTCCAAAGACGGACGGCATGAGGAGCTCTAGGAGGCTTGGAATCAAGGAGCAGTGGCACTGGTGCAACACTTGGCCCGAGCATCTGCTGGGGCCAAAATGGGACAAATGCGACGACCTTCCTAGGCAGCAAAGTGTAGCGGGCTGAGTACATAGCAACGGTTGGAAACATGGGGGAAGCCTGGAGATCAGGGATGGACGGCAGCACTAGACGTAGATTGGGTGTCGTCGAAGACGGCATGTATTTCAATGTGATTTCGGGAATGGATGAGCACTACAGATACGACGCCAAAAGAAACTTGCGGCGAATTTTCGCACTGGCCAAGGACGGCACCCAAGAAGAAATCATGCCCAGCTTGGTCAGCACCATTGGAATTGATTGCAATGCTATTGGTTTCTGATGCACATTCTGACAATGATCGTTTTGGATAAGTAGGTAAGATCCCCCAACGGAGTCCCCACTGCACACATCTGCGCTGGAGGATGGAATGGTCAGGCCCAGACAATAGAAGCGAACCCCATCCTGCTGGCGTGCGAGCGCGGGGTGCTGATGGCCAACAAGATTTGATTCATGTGATGCATGCGACTCTTCTGCTGACGTGCGCATTTTTTGTAAGAACAACCTTGGGCAAGGGACGGTACAGCATTAGCAGTCTCAGCCCCGAGTGCCCAGTCAGGTTCATGTTTTTTCCCCAAAACAGCTTGCTGACCGGGGTGCTGGTGTGATCGTAACACATTCCAGTCGAGCAACGCGCGCCCAAAACATCTTCAAGAAAATTCACCTCTCGATTCTGATTTGGCCACGATTGGGTGTTTCGACTGAGACATGATCGCAGTTCTGGGCTCCGAGATGCCGCGCTCGAGGCGGCGGATGGCCCTGAGCTCAAGCCATTTTGGCTCAAGCAATGTCGGCTCAAGCCATTTTGGCGCAATCCCCGGTGCCATGTCGTTCTGGATAGTCTCAAGAAGTCGTCATGTCCCTCGAAGCGTCGATCAAGAACTGCGGCCTGACAAAACAATGGAGCGCCGCACTGCGGTTGCTCCGCGAAGGCATTCAATTGAGTGTGCAACTCGTCCCACGCCACTACGTTGCGACTATAGGCGCATGCAGAAAAGGCGGGCAATGGCAACACGCGTTGTCAGTGCTCAGTGAGATGTGGGAGGCGAAGCTGGAGCCCAACGTCATCTATATTACAATACCGGAATCAGCGCGTGCGAAAAGACAACCGGGTGGCATCGACCCGCCTCGGCCTGGCTCTGCCCGGCTTGGCCCGCTGCGGGCAGGCGCTCCGAGCCTGGGAGGGCCCCAAGAGGGCCTCGACGAGGCCCCATAACGCATGTACTTAGGTGCCCCTCTCGCAAGCCCAAGAAGTAGATGCGGTTGGGGGCCCTCTTGGGGCCCCCTGGGGGCGCTCTTGCGGCCCTCTTGGGGCCTTCGGGCCCCTCCAAGACAGGGCCAGGTGCATTCTGCACCAGAAGGGCCTTTCGTGGCAGAATGGTGGGCCCGCGCCCGGCGGCGTCCTGGGGCCCTCTTGTAGCCCTCTTTGGGCCCTCTGGGGGCCTTCTTCGTGCCCTCTGGTACGACGGCCCTAAGACGGTCCCGACACTGCCCCACGGACGCCCGGACGCCCGAATTGTTCAGCTTCGATGAGCTGTTCACCCACGGTGTGCGATTCCCAGGTTCAGCACACCGTGGATTCAATCCACGGGTTCACATGAGTCTCTCCTACAATGCCGGAGCCCGTGCGTGCCAGAAGGGTGGAAAGGACGAAGCACCCCAAATCGGCCCCGAGCGCCCTGCCGGGCCGCCCTGGGGAGCACCGGACGGCCCTGGAAGGCCCAAGAGCGCTCCGAGATGAACCCGGGGCCCCCCAAGAGCGGCCCAAGACGGTCCAAGAGGGCCAGCGAGACGGCCCAAGAGCGCTCGCAGACGCCCAAGATAGCCCCTGGAGGGCCCAAGAGGCTCCCAAAACGCTCCAAGGGGGCTCCAAAAAGAGGCCCGACAGAGCCCGAACCAGCAAAAATCGTCCCAACCCGCAGGCGAAATATACATGTTCGCAATGCCCGCGCTTTTCGTTTTCAAAGCGTCAAAGAGGACAACTCACGCCCCCAAGATCGGCCCAGGACGCCTGTAGCGCCCCATGAGGGCCCCAAGACGGCCCAAGACGGCCCCAAGAAAGCCCAAGACGGCCCCAGGACCGCTCCTGAGGCGCCCACGACGGCCCAAGAGTCATCCAAGTCAGCCCCAAGAGCGGCCAAAGAAGGCTCAAGACGGCCCCAAGACGGCCCCGAGCTGGCCCCAGAGGCGTCCAAGACGGCGTCAGACGGCCCCAAGACGGCCCAAGGGGCACCCAAGACGGTCCAAGAGGGCCCCACGAGGCCCCGAGGAGGCCGCAAGACGGTCCAAGGGGGCCCCAAAGGGCCACCCAAAGTCTAAACAGGAACCCCGAGAGGCCCCCAAACGGTTCCCACGGAGCAGGAAGCGCCCGCCATCAGTGGTCGCATAGGGAGCGTTACCATCCTCCGTGGGTGCGGGCGCGAGCGAAAGAGCGCCGAATAATGAACAGCAACATGGGCGCTATTTCCCTTTACTATTGCCTCCCAGCTCCAGGGCGCTCTTCGCCGCTGCCGCCTAAGTGAGTCGAGGTCCACCACAGGCAGCCAGGGAGCGCAGTCCCCAACACAGTCTGAACCCAGAGGGTCGCGGAGACGGCGCCCAAAAGTACGTGGCTCCCTGCGCGTCCACAGTGAGCCCCCCTGTGCAGTCCACCGTGGGACATTCCGAGTGCCTTGGGGCAGAATCGATCTCTCCCGTGGGCACGAAGCAGACAGCAGCAGCGGCGGCACACAGCAGCAGCAGCAGCAGCAGCAGCAGCAGCAGCAGCAGCAGCAGCGGCGGCGCACAGCAGCAGCAAGCAGCGGCAGGTTGCGGGTAGAAGCACGCACCAGGCGGACCTGGCCATCAGAAACAGCCTGCAGCCACAAGCAGCAAGAACACGCAGCAGCGGCCTCAAGCACTGCCAACAGTACGCAAAAGCGGCAGCAAGCAGCAGCACGCAGTAGCATGCGCGGAATGTGAGGTCGGGAGTCCACGGGTCAGTCCTGCCGACGTCGCCAGTTTCCTTCCGGTGCCCACAACCCACGACGACGACCACCACCACCACCACGACAACGACGCCCACTACGACGGGTACGATGGCGGCCTCGCGGCGGCCACGACAATGACGCCGACGATGACGGCGACGACGGCGGTCCCGCGACGGCCAGGCTGCTGGAGCGCTGCTAGAGCTCGGACACGAAAGCGCGGTCTCGCTGCCGCTGCCCCCGCCGCCGCCGTGCTCATAGGTTTTCGGCAAAATCTTCGCCGTTCTTCGGAGAACCATTCCAGAAAGATGTCGTGCACGGAGTCCACGGGTCAGCCTTAGTCAGCTACAATGCTGGGATCAGCGCGTGCGAGAAGGGCGGGCAGTGGCAGCAGGCGCTTGCGCTTCTGAGCGAGATGCGGGAGACGAAGCTGGAGCCCGACGTCATCTCTACTACAGTGCAGCGTTCACCGCCAGCCGCTAGCCAAATGGGCGAGCAGTGACCGTGGACCGGCCCCCTCTGGCGGCCACCGGCGAGGCCCCGGGCTCCCGGCGCGCTTCCAAGATGACTTTGGAGCGCTCCGAGCCACCCCCAGAGGCCCCCAGGAGGGCCCGAAGACGGCCCGAAGACGGTCCGAGAAGGCCTCCGAGACGGGCCCCGAGCGTTCGAAGACGCCCAAGGCAGCCGCGGGACCGCCCAGGAGACCTCCAAAATGCTTCAAGTGGGCTCCAGAGCCCCAGACAGCCCGAACAAGGAAAAATCGTCCCAATCCCGATGGAAAACGTACACTTCAGGAGTTCCTGTGCTTCTCGTCTTCGCAGCGCCCAAGGCAGCCACACAGGCCCTCAAGATCGTCCCAAGACGCTTCAGGAGGCTGCCAGGAGGGCCCCAAGACGGCTCAAAACTGCACCAGGACGGCTCCTCAGGCGCCCATGGCGGCCCCAAGAGGGGGCCAGGACAGGCTGGGAGCGTTCCGGAGGGCCCCAAGAGGGGCTGGGAGGGCTCCAAGAGGGCCTCGACGAGGCCCAATGACGCATGTACTTAATTAGGTGCCCCTCTCGCAAGCCCAAGAAGTATATCAAGTACATGCGGCTTGGGGCCTCTTGAGGCCTTCGGGCCCCTCCAAGACAGGGCCGGGTGCATTCAGCCACAGAAAGGCCTTCCGTGGCAAAATGGTAGGCTCGCGCCGGGCGGCGTCCTGGGGCCTTCTTGGAGCCTTCTTGGAGCCCTCTTGAGGTCCTCTTCGTGCGCTCTGGCACGACCTACCCATGGTTCGGCAACACCCGCCGCCAGTGGCAGCAAGCACGGGTACACACTATCAGCTACAGCGCTGGGATCAGCGCGTGCAAGAAGGGCGGGCAATGGCAGCCGGCGCTGGCGCTGCTGAACGAGATGTGGGAGACGAAGCTGGAGCCCGACGTCATCAGTTACAGCGCTGGGATCAGCGCGTGCGAGAAGGGTGGGCAATGGCAGCCGGCGCTGGCGCTGCTGAGCGAGATGTGGGAGGCGAAGCTGGAGCCCAACGTCATCTATACTACAATGCAGGGCCCCGCGCGTGCGAGAAAGGCGATTCGGGCCAAAACAGCGTAGCAGGCCCCTGCGAGCCCCAGCAGGCCCCGGCGCGCTCCGAGACGCTCCAAGATAACAAGAGCGCTCCGAGACGCCCCTGAAGGCCTTCACGAAGGCCCCAAGACGGCCCCAGACGGCCCAAGAGGGCCTCCGAAAAGGTCCAAGATGGCCTCCCGACGGCCCAAGAGAGCTCGAACAAGGGAAAATCGTCCCAATCTCTAAGGGAAACTCGCATGTTTGCAATTCCCGCACTTTGCGTCCGCAACGCGTCCAAGACGGCCATACAGGCCCCCAAGATCGCCCCAAGACGCCCCAAGAGGGTCTCCAGGGAGCCCCAGAACGGTTCCAGGCGGTCCCTGGACAGCCCAAGAGGCGCCCAGGACAGCCCAAGAGGGCTAGAAGAGCGGCCCAAGACGGGCCCGAGACAGCCCTAGAGGCGCCCAAGACCACCCTAAACAGCTTGACACGGCCCAAGAGGCGCCCAAGACGGACCCAAGAGGCCCAAAGGAGGCCTTCAAGTCCTTCCAAGAGACGTCCAAGAGGGCTCAGAAGCAAAACTCGTCCCAATCCCGAGGGAAGACGCACAATTTTAACATGGATCGCCCCAAGACGCCCTAAGAGGGCTTCCAGGGGCCCCATGACGGTTCAAGGCGGCCCCAGGACAGCCCAAGAGGCGCCCAGGGCAGCCCAAGAGGGCTCGAAGAGCGGCGCAATACAGGCCCGAGGCAGCCCCAGAGGCGACTAAGCCCGCCCTACATAAACAACCCAAGACGGCCCACGAGGCGCCGAAGACGGCCCCAAAAGGCCTCCAAGAGGCCCAAAGGAGGCTCCCAAGCCCTTCCAAGAGACATCCAAGAGTGCTTCGCCCCAAACCTTGGGAAACCGTACAATTGTAACATATTCGCTTTCCTCGTGTCCACGGCGCCCACGACGGCCATACAGGCCCCCAAGATCGCCCCAAGAGGGCCTCCAGGGGGTCCCAGAACGGTTCTGGGCGGCCCCTGGACAGCCCAAGAGGCGCCCAGGACAGCCCAGAAGGGCTAGAAGAGGACGGGCCCGAGGCAGCCCTACAGGCGCCCAAGACCGCCCTAAACCGCCTAAGACGGCCCAAGAGGCGCCCAAGACGGCCCCAAGAGGCCCCCCCCAAGAGGTCAAAGGAGGCCTCCGAGCCCCTCCAAGAGACGTCCAAGAGGGCTCCCAGAAGCAAAAGTCGCCCCAAAGCGTGGGAAAACTCACAATTTGAACATATACGCTTTCCTCGTGTCCACGGTTCCCACGGCGGCCATGCAGGCCATACGAAAGCGCGGTCTCGTTGCCGCCGCCCCCGCCGCCGCCGTGCTTATAGGTTTTTGGCAAAATCTTCGCCGTTCCTCCGAGAACCATTCCAGACCCGAGGCGGGCCCTCGACGGCTCCAGAGACGCCCTAGACGGCCCAAGAGGCAACCAAGACAGCCCAAAGAGCGGTCAATAACGGCCCAAGACAAGACGGCCCCACACGGCCCCAAGACGGCCCAAGAGGCACTTAAGACGACCCAAGAGGGACCCAAGGGATTCCCGGGAGGCCGGAAAGAGGCCAAGAGGCCTTAAGTGGCTTCCACTTTGCCTCTAAGAGAGGGGGGCCGGACGAGAGGCGAGGGCCGGACCGCATGCCCACAAGAGCTGTTTTCAACGCTCTGGGACCCTTCCATGCGTGTCTTTTGGGGAGCGGTCCAGAGCGCCCCGGAGCGCGCCGGGAGCCCTTCGGGCGCTCCAGGACCTTTGGAGGCTCCCCAGATTGCGCCATGAGGGCTCCACGCGGCGCCATGAGGGCCCTAGACGGTCCTTGCACGCTCCGGGAAGCCCCACAGAGCGTCGAGGCCTTTCAAATCGGCACGACACGACCCAAGCGAGCGCCAAGGTGCTCCGAGAGGCCCCCAAAAGGCCGCACAAGAGGGTCCCGAGAGGTCAAAATCGTTTGTTGTCCTAGGCTTTTCCAAAAATTTCCCGTTTGCCGCCAATTCAGCTTTCGGACACTCGAAGCAGCCCTGGAAGACTTCAAGGCCACCCCAAAGGACCCAAAACGCCCCCAGGAGGCTCCCAGGAGGGCCCCAAGACGGACCAAGACCGCCCCAGCACGGCCCCAGGCGCGCTGAAGACGGCCCAAGACGGCTCCACGACGGCTCCACGAGGGTGCCAACACGGCCCCAGACGGGCCCAGCACGGCCCAAGGCACGCTCAAGACGGCCCAAGACGACTCCAAGGACGGTCCCAGGTGGGTGCCAACATAGGCCCAGGACGGCCCAAGGAGGCGCCCAGTCGGGACCTCAAGACGGGCCAAGATGGCAAGACAGCTAGAAACAAATATAATTTTCCATTATATATTGTTACGGCCATTGCGTTTCCCGCCATTTCGGCGGTCGGATGCCCCAAGAGGCCCCAGAAAGTCCCAGGAGGGTCCGAGGAAACGCTCAGGAAGGCCCCAAGATGGGCCAAGACGGCCCCAGCACAACCCAAGGCGCGCTGCGACGGCTCAAGAAACACCAAAGACAGCCCCCAAAGCACCCACTATTGGCCCAAGATGGCCCCAAGACTGTCCCAAGATGCTCCGAGAGGCGCCCAAGACGGCCCCACATCGCCCCAAGACGGCCCAAGATGCACTCAAGACTGCCCAAGAGGGCTCCGAGAGACCCACCCCCAGGAGGACGAAAAGAGGCCCCCAAGCGGCCCCCGAGAGGCCTTGGATGCTTCTCTCTTGGGGAGCGTCGACCTTCCAACATCGTTTTGGAGGCTTCTTGGACCCTCTGGGAGCCATCTCTGCGCTATTTGGGGACGTCTTGGGGAGGTGCGCTCGAAAAGTCGATTCGTGTCCTCGCACTGGGGCCCTTCTTAGGGAGTTCCGTCTCGCTGCCCTCTTGCGGGCCTCCTAGGCCGCGCCCACTGGCCCCATTGTCACCACACTGCCAGATGAAAGTATCATTGGGTCCCAGCGAAGAGCAGATAACTTCTCGCGGCTACCTTCCCCGCAGAAGCTATGATGAACACAGACTGCGGCGTCAGAAACAGCTTCTATCCACACCATGTCATGCCTACATGGGTATGCTTCCACTGACAACGCCTCCACCACCGCGTTCCTGCCTTCAGGCCTGCTTGCCTGCATCCCTCGCCCACCTGCCCCTCCAGCGGCCACCTCCTCCATCCACGCCGTCCCCTCCAACCTCCCCTTACCCGCGAGGCCCCAGAGACGCTCCACTTCCACGTCCACGCCAGGGCGGGCAAATTCCGCGGCCGGAGGCCGCGGGTCAGCCCTAGCCCTCCAGATCACCCCACCACGCCTCTGGAAGCCCCCTGGACGGCCCCAAGGCGGCCCCACGATGGCTCTTGAGGCGCCGATGGCAGCCCAAGAGGCTGCCACGACAGCGCCGCGACGGTCACAAAACGAGTTAAGACGGCTCCGAGACGGCTCCAAGACGGCCCCAGAGGCGCTAAAGACGGCCCCCCACTGCCCCGAGACGGCCCCAGAGGCGCCCAAGAGGGCCCCAGACGGCCCCAGGACAGCCCAAGAGGCACCCCAGACAGTCCCGGAGGGCCCCGGGAGGCCCTATTGCGGCACCCAGGGAGGCGAAAAGAAGCGCCGAACGTCACCGAAGAGGTCCACAGCGCCTCTCCGAACCACCATGGGTCCATCAGGAGGCCCTGAGTGCCCCAGACGCGCCCACAACGGCTTTACACATCCCCACAGGTCTCCAAGGGGGCCCTCTTCCAGCTACACTCGGCCCGTCTTCGGACTCTCTGGAGCGCGGCTTCGACATTGGCCCCCAATGCAGGCCAGGACACCGCCCCGACGGCCCCAAAACGGCTCCGACCCGCTGAAGAGACCGCCCCGACGGCCCCAGAGGCCCCCAAGGCAGGCCAGGAGGCTCCCAAAACGGCCCTGGAGGACTTCCCAGGAGAGCCCCAAGAGGCACAAATCGCCACATTCTCTTCGGAAGACATACGTGTTGGGAATTATTATGCTTCTCGTCTCCGACGCGCCCACGACGGCCAGACCGGGCCCAAACATCGCCCCACCCCCGTGAGGGCCCCAAGACGATCCAAGACGGTGTCAGGACGGTCCAAGAGGGCCCCAAGCCGACCCAAGATGCACCCAAGACAGCCCCAAGAGCCGCCCAAGACGGCCCAGAACGGCCCCAAGACGGCCCAAGAGGCGCCAGAGACAGCCAAAGACGGCCCAAGACGGCCCCAAGACGACCCAGAAGGCACACAAGACGGCCCAAGAGGGCCCCAAGAGGCTCCCAGGAAACCGAAAAGAACCCCCAAGAGTCAGTCCCCCAAGCGGCCGCCAAGAGGCCCTCAGTGGCTTCAAAGTTGCTTCCAAGAGGGGGGGGCGGACGACAGGCGAGAGCCGTATCGCAGGCCCCACACAGCTGGCCCCCATGACGCCCTAAGTGGTTTCGAATTTGCCTCCGGGAGAGGGGGGCGGACGAGAGGCGAGACGCGATCGCAGGCCCAGAAGACCCGATCTGGACGCTCCGAGGGCCTTGGATGCTCGCCTGCTGGGGGGCGTCGTTTTGTCGTTTACGATTGGCGATCGGAGATCGAGCAGATGAAGGACCCAGGAACAGGAGGAGGAGGAGAAGAAGGAGGAGGAGGAGCAGGAGGAGGCGGAGGAGGAGGAGGAGGAGGAGGACCTGGACAACTTCTGAACAGACCGCCTCCTTGGATAGAAATGTTCAGCAATTGTTGGGGGCCACCCCGCTCCATCTTCACGGTGCATGACGCTGCTGCTCCGGATCCGCGCTGTCACACGGACTTGGCGCCGTCGTCGTTGTGATCGTGTTCGTCGGCTCCGTCGCATCGTCGTCGTCGTCGTCGTCGTCGTCGTCGTCGTCGTCGTCGTCGTCGTCGTCGTCGTCGTCGTCGTCGTCGTCGTCGTCTGGACTTCGAGAGGGCGTCTTGTCTGCAGGCTGGTGGGGAAGAGTAGAAGGAGGGGGAGAAGGAATAGTAGGAGCAGGATGAGCAGGTATACTGGGGAGGACGAGGGGGGAAGAGGAGGGGAGGAGGACTAAGGACGCAAGCGAATATCGCGCGGACGATGACAGAGCGGGAATGAAGACGCGACGACGACCTGGCTAGGACGGCGACGATGAGGGCAGCAGCGGAGGCGGCAGCGCTGGGGGGAGCAAGACACCAGGCTCAGAGCATCGACAAAAGCCCGAGAGGGCCCCCAGCGGCCCCCTCGCAGCCGAGTGGCTGACCGCCATGTCGATATCCTTTCGGCAGCATCCCCGCCGCCGCCCCGAAAATATTTTCGACCAGATGACGTGGACAGAGTCCACGGGTCAGCCCTAGTCTCTACTACATTGCAGGGGCACGTGCGTGCGGGAAGGGCGCAGGCTCAAATGTCTCAAAACCGCCCCAGGCTGGCCCCGGGCCACCCAGGCAGGCCCCAGGACATGTCGAGAGGGCCCCCAGAAGCCCCCAAGACGGCCCCGGAGAGCCCCGGCACGCTTAAAGATGGGCCCAAGACGCCCGAGATTCGCCCCAGGCGGCCCAAGAGGCGTCCAAGACGCCCGAAGAGGCCTCCCAAGAGGCCTCCCAAGAGGGCCCCGAGCGACAGAAATCGTCGATTTCTATTGTATTTTTCAATGTTTTCGGCCTCCTCGCCTCGTCGGCTTCCCGACGCTCCAAGACGGCCCAAGAAGCCCTCTTGACCGCTCCAAGACGGCCGAAGAGGACCCCAAGAGAGCCCCAAGACGGGCCAGGAGGGCCCCCAGACGGTCCCAAGACGCCCCAGGACGGCCCCAGGACGGCCCAGGAGGCGCCCAAGACGGCCCAAGAGGCACCCAAGACGACCCCAGGAGCGGCCCAAGACGGCCCACGACAGCCCAAGAGGCGCCGAGGCGGGTCTCAGACGGCCCCAAGACGGCCCAAGAGGCACCCAAGACGGCCCGAGAGGGCCCTAAGAGCCCCCCCGGGAGGCCCAAACGAAGGCCGAAGAGGCTCCGAAACGGCCCCCACGAAGCCTTCAGTGCCTTCAGAATTCCCTCCAGGAGCGGGGGAGCGGACGAGAGGCGACAGGCATATCGCAGGCAAAAACGCCCCAAGAGATCCCCAAACGGCCCCCACGAAGCCCTAAGTGGCTTCAGAATTGCTTCCAGGAGGGGGGGAGCGGACGAGAGGCGACCGGCATATCGAAGGCACAAAAGAACAATGTTGGACGCTCCGAGGGCCTTCGATGTTTCTCCGTTGGGGAGAGTCGTCGTAGGATCGACGATTGCCGACCGAGGGCAGCGAATCCAGTGGAGGCCCAAGAGGCCCCCAGGAGCCCAAAAGAGATCCCCAAGAGGTGCCACGGGGCTTAAAAACTGCTTCGAAGCGAGGGGGGCGGACGAGGGGACCGCCTCAGGAGGTTTTGGACGGTTTTGGGCCTCAAAATCGTCCGCTTTACGACGGTTTTGGAAGGATTTTGGCCTTCTCGCCTTTTCCGCTTTCCGACGCTCGAAGACGGCCCAAGAGGCCTCCAAGAGCGCCCCAGAACGGCCCAAGAGGCTTCCAAGAGCGCCCCAAGACAGCCCAAGAGGGCCCCAAGACGACCCAAGAGACGCTCAAGACGGCCCACGAGGGCCCGAAGACAGGCCCAAGAGGGGGCCAAGAGGGGGACCACGGACCGAAAATCCGAGCCTTCCGCCCCAAGAGGGCGCCAGGAGGCCCAAACAGGCCCCCAAGAGGCCCCAAGGGGCCGCCAAGAATCCCCCGAAGAGGCCCCAGGAGGCTCCCAAGGAGCCCAAACGAGGCCCCTACAGAGGCCCCAACAGCTTCCAAAATGGCCCCGAAGAGGCCTCGAGCCCGCCTCCGAGCTTCCTCGCCGCGAGGGTGCCAACACGGCCCCAGACCGGCCCAGGACGGCCCAAGGCGCGCTCAAGACGGCCCAAGACGATTCCAAGACGGTCCCAGGAGGGTGCGCCCAGGACGGCCCAAGGACGCGCCCGTTCGGGGCCTCAAGACGGGCCAAGATGGCAAGAGAGTCCCAGCTGGCAAAAATCGTTAATTTTCCATTGTTTACTGTTACACCCTTTGCGTTTCCCGCCGTTTCGGCGGTCCGATGCACCAAGAGGCCCCAGAAAGTCCCAGGAGGGTCCGAGGAACCGCCCAGGAAGGCCCCAAGACGGGCCAAGACGGACCCAGCACAACCCAAGGCGCGCTGCGACGGCTCAAGACGGCTCCAAGACAGCCCCAAGAGGGTGCCAACACGGCCCCTGCTGGGCCCAGGACGGCCCAAGGAGGCGCACAGGAGGGGCCCAAGACGACTCCAAGGCGGCCTCCTCACGGTCCCAGACGGCTCCAAGACAGCCCCACGAGGACCCCGATGGGCCCAGGACGGCCTACGGACGCGCCCATGAGGGGCCCACGACGAACCAAGACGGCCCCATCAGGGCAAACGGCGCCCTCAAGACGGGCCTAGACGGCTCCAAGACGGCCCTTTGAGGGAGCCAACGCGGCCCCACACCCTTCGGGCGCACACTTGGGGGGGCTGGGAGCTTGCGACAAGTCTCCCACATTCATTGTCCTGCCCCATTCTGTTCGCCTGGAGGCCTCCTCCAACCCTGTGGGCGAACAAGAGGAATCCCAGCGGGACGCCAACCCTGGGGCCCGTGGGCCCCGCGCCGCTTGGGCAGAAGACGAACGCCGGGTCTGACAGGCCAGCTACCGCCCCCCTTTGCCCGATATGCTGTGCCATTCTGTTCCCCCAGGGGCCTTGGCAAACTCTTCGGGCCAAGCAGACCGGACCCCTGGGACAGCAGCCAATTGATATGACCCTGGGACCTCTCCGCATTCTTCGGACGAGCATCTGGGGGGCCCAGGAGATTCGGACATGTCTTCCCCATTCCTTGCCCTGTCCCGTTCTGTTCGCCCGAAGGCCTCCACAGACCCTCTGGGCGAACAGAATGGGACATGGCGAACAAACCCTCCCGTTGGCGGTGATGCGACTGGATCGCACCATCAAGGCGCGCCCGGAGGTGATGGCCGACCCAACAGCGGTTTCTCTTAAGAGTTCACTGGATTTCAAATTTTCTTGAAGCTCTCTTGGGCCCTCCCTGTAGATCCTTGCGAGCCTCCCCGGCGCTTTCGGTGGCTTTCCCCGATGGCCTCCCGAGCCCTTCCCCGAGCGCTCCTGAGACGCCTCAGATGGGCTTCGACTTCGACGCACATCCCCGAGAGACTTCGAAACTGTCCTCAATAGGAGGGGGGTGAACGAGCAGTGCGCTGGGCCAAGCTGCTGCAGCGCTGCAAGAGCTCGGACACGAAGGCGCGGTCTCGCTGCCGCCGCCCGAGCCGCCGCCGTGTTTGTAGATTTTCGGTACAATCTGCGCCGTTCCTCCGAGAACCATTCCAGAAAGATGTCGTGGACGGAGTCCACGGGTCAGCCCTAGTCAGCTACAATGCTGGGATCAGCGCGTGCGAGAAGGGCGCGCAGTGGCAGCGTGCGCTTACGCTTCTGAGCGAGATGCGGGAGACGAAGCTGGAGCCTGACGTCATCTCTACTACAATGCAGCGTTCACAGCTAGTCGAATGGGCAAGCAGTGGCCGTGGACCAGTCACCGGCGCAGCCGCGGGCCCCAAGAGGGGGCCAGGAGGGCCCCAAGAGGGCCTCGACGAGGCCCCATGACGCATGTACTTGGGTGCCCCTCTCGCAAGCCCAAGAAGCATATCAAGTACATGCGGCTTGGGGCCCTCTTGGGGCCCCTTGGGGGCGCTCTTGCGGCCCTCTTGAGGCCTTCGGGCCCCTCCAAGACAGGGCCGGGTGCATTCTGCCACAGAAGGCCTCTCGTGGCAAAATGGTGGGCCCGTGCCCGGCGGCGTCCTGGGGCCTTCTTGGAGCCCTGTTGGAGCCCTCTTGGGACCCTCTTCGTGCCCTCTGGCACGACCTACCTATGGTTCGGCAACACCCGCCGCCAGTGGCAGCAAGCACGGGTACACACTATCAGCTACAGCGCCGGGATCAGCGCGTGCGAGAAGGGCGGTCAATGGCAGCCGGCGCTGGCGCTGCTGAGCGAGATGTGGGAGACGAAGCTGGAGCCCGACGTCATCAGCTACAGCGCTGGGATCAGCGCGTGCGAGAAGGGCGGGCAATGGCAGCCGGCGCTGGCGCTGCTGAGCGAGATGTGGGAGGCGAAGCTGGAGCCCAACATCATCTATACTACAATGCAGGGCCCCGCGCGTGCGAGAAAGGCGATTCGGACCAAAATGGCGTAGCAGGCCCCTGCGAGCCCCAGCAGGCCCCGGCGCGCTCCGAGACGCTCCAAGATGGCCCAAGAGCGCTGAGACGCCCCTGAAGGCCTTCACGAGGGCCCCAAGACGGCCCAAGAAGGCCTCCGAAAAGGTCCAAGAGCGCTCCAAGACGCCCAAGATAGGCTCCCGACAGCCCAAGAGGCCTCCCAAGACGCTCCAAGTGGGCTCCAAGACGAGCCCTCAGAGAGCCCGAACCAGGGCACATCGTCCCAATCCCTAGGGGAAATTTGCATTTTTGCAATTCCCGCGCTGTGCGTCCGCAACGCGTCCAAGACGGCCATACCGGCCCCCAAGATAGCCCCAAGCGGCCCAAGACAAGACGGCCCCAAGAGGCGCCCAAGACGGCTCCAAGAGGCCCCCAAGCGGCCCAACGTAGGCCCCAAGATGCAGAGGCCCCGGCTTCCAAAACTGCCGCCGAGAGCGGAGAGGCAGACGAGAGGCGTGATGCCCCTCGCAGGCCTCGAGGAGCAGCTCTTAACGCTCCAGGGACCCTGGAGGCTTCTCTTCTGGGGGGCGTTGTCGTAGGATCCACGATTGACGATCGACGATCGAAGGGATGAAGGATCGAAGGCAGGAGGAGGAGGCGGATCCAGCAGCAGCAAACACCAGCGGCGATGAGCAGCAGCAGCAGCAGCAGCAGCACGCCTTGACAGCCCCAGGTGCGAGTCCCCCCCCCCCCCCGCGGGGGTAGAGGTACTCATTTTCAGATACCTCCACCCCCCGGGGGAGGGCGCCCGCGGCCCAGTCGAGGCGCCCGATGGTCCAAGACTGCCCAATGA